GGCCTGGTGGGGCCTGGTGGGGCCTGGTGGGGCCTGCCGAGGCCTGTTGGGCCCTGTTGGGGCCTGGCAGGCCTGTGGGCTGCTGCTCATGGTTCCGGGGGAGCCTCCACCCTACAGTCGTGGGTTTTTTTGTCAGGGGGCTTCCTTCCTGGTGGACTGGGTCTCGGGGACCCCGGCTGTCTGTTTCGTTGCACGCACAACTGAGCACAGCCTAGTTGAAGCCTGGGCTTCGGGTTTTGGATGCTTATGCTCACACATTTGCCCAGACACATGCTTCTTATGCCCGTCTGCAGTTTTTGTGCAGCTCTGAGGGGTTTGCTGCCACTAGTCCTGCTGCCTGGGCTTCTCTGTGCTCGTTGGTTTGTTGTCCCTGTGTCTGGTAGCAAATGCTGCTAATGGTTCTCCTTCTGGATCACCTAAAAGAGGCCATAGGATGATTCCTCTTTCTACAGATGTAGCATCTGGTTGGATGGTTTTGTTGTATTTTCCCCCTCTCTCTCTCTGGGTTTCTATAGGGGTCTTTCTCCTTTTCTGTAAAGTTTATTTTTCTTTGCCCTCCCACTTTTCCTGTACCTCTGTCAGATTTCAAATTTGTACATGCAAAGTATTCTAAAAGAAATGCTGTATTGGGTAATAAAGGGGGGACTTTTCATCCATAAAGCTCCCCCAAATGTGTTCTTCACAACACGATATTCTGATTTAAATCCTGCTGCCACAGTGCTGAATAAGTCAAGGTAAAAAAAAACAAGAAAAGCTAACTAATCTGTCTATTTTCTCTGCAACAGATAATGGAATACACAGACAGTGGCCACATCAACCGAGGAAAAATCCAAACTGCAGACACCGCAGCTTCCTGGAAGCCTTTACTTATCTATTCCATACAGTCCCTCAGCATCCTTTTTCCTGCCTGCTTTCTAGCATTCAAATCCACCTGCTACCACCCACCTAGACTTTTTACCGACTGAATGTTTTCTTCAGCTATTACAAATTTCCCCTCGACTTATTCAGATGCTTCTTGCTGCTTACTAGGCTTGATTTTTATACCAGCCTATTTTATACTTGAATAAGTCTCTCAAGTGTTCTGTTATAAATGGCACTGTTGTAGTCACCAATGTCATATCATCTGAAAACCGTACCGGTCTCTCTCCACCTACAGCCCACTCTCCAACTCTGATAATTACCTCCATTGTCATTGTAAATGCTGAAGGAGAAATCGTCCACCCTGCCATAACACTTATTCCCAGCCTCTGTCAAACTGTTAAGAAACCTGCTTAACAAGGCACAAACTAATAATAATAATAATAATAATACATTTTATTTTTAAAAAGCACCTTTCATGCCACTCAAGGACATTTTACAAAGACGATTATAATTAAAACAACACTAAAACATAAGAAAACATACAAAGTCATAAATAACTCAGAAATGAATTAAATAAAATGGAATGAATAAAACTGTGCAGAATAGGGGGGAATGTGAGAGTTAGGGGTGGGAAGGTGGGTAAGAGATTTTAAACAGGTAGGTTTTGAGTTTTGTTTTGAAAAGAGGGAGAGAGTCGGTATTTTGGATGTTAGATGGCAAAGAGTTCCAGAACCAGGGAGCAGAGTGTCCTGGACAGGTGCTCTTACTAAGTTAACTACAGCGGTCACTATAAAATAATCACTTTCCAAATAAGGCTAGGTGGCACTGAACCAATCACATCAGCTAAATTCAGATATATAGCATGTAAGTCAGATGCAAAATTATGCTAGTGTGCCATTAAGCTATTCATTCTATATAACTAGCTAATCTCTCTGCAACTAAACAAAGAAAATCTTCCCATCTACATTTCAGAGAGAGATAAAATGGAACTAACTTAGGTCTGAGGACTCTTGCTCCTTCGCGGTAGGAACAGCTCGTGCCCTACATCATGCCGTAGGAATAAACTGTTCAGCCTCCCGGTGAGGGACAGAAGCCCCGGGGGCAGAAGAAGCCTTTTTACGCCTGACCACCTCCTCAGCCTCCGTCCAGCTGGATGGTCTAACGTCCACCTCATGAGCTCTCTCTCCTAACCGTGGCATGTCCGGTGGAAGGCCTGAATATGGACGTCTTAGATATTCTTCCACCTCTGATTGCCGCTTTAAGGTGCCCTTCCTTTTCCTGGGTAAATACAAATTTAATCTAAACAGGTCCCTTGGAAATGCAATCGTAATGTACTCTTTTAACTCTCTTTCTATCCTGCACCCCAAAACCTTCTGCACCTCTGGAGTAAATAATAACTCCCATCTCTTTTACCTTATATTGTTTACAGACCTCTCTTGACTCCCTAAATGAGTTAAAATGGAAGGAAATCATTATGTAAATACACTTTTAGAGATGGTAAAGATTTGAGGCCAAACAACAAGAAGATTTGAAATTTTATTCATGCTGAGTGCAGTTTTGTCTGATATTCCAGACGTGTAAAGGGTCATCAGTGGCGGGCAGTAGAGGGATTTTTGCTGCTGCTCTGATGAGTGTGTGGGCCAGAGGTGTTAGGAAAGAAAATGACTGTCTGCAGACGGCATGTGCTGTCTGGCAGAAAAACACAATCAGGCCTGACACATGACATTAGCAGACCAAACAAACCCAGAGTGAAGACCTGCTGGACCCGTGACTGGTCAACCAGTAAAGTGACCACGCAGGAGGATCATTCTGATTAACAGGTTTGAAAAAGTTTTTAGAAATACAGTGTTCTCCAGACTAATTTGTAGGATAAAAAGTGTGTGATAATATGCACGACAAAAACTGATGAGTGGCGAGGATTAAGATTAATGAAAAAAATCACGACTGATAACAAACACACTTCTATACCCTCTTATTGCAAGTAGGCTTGCAGAGGGGCTGAAGCCTCTTCAAGATGTCCAACTCTAATAAGAAAAACACATTTTTTGTCTTTTTAAAAGAAACCCAGATGACATTTCATGATCGATGTACCCGAAAAACCAAAAAACAAACAAAAAAAGATCAATGAAGAGACGATGGCCAGGTATTTAATACATTAGATTAATAGTAAAGAAGTTCTCCTGGATGACCAAGTTGAAAAAAAGGGAAAACCAGGCACACTTCTCTTGGCTGTGGGGACTCTGACAAGCTGGGACTCGCAGTGAGCAGAAACTTGCTACATGCAAATCAGTAGCATGTGTTATCCTGGAAGTCAAATCATTAGTCAAACCACAACCATCTCAAACCTCAGCTGCACGGAAAAGTCTGTTGGCAGCAAACGGCCAGAGAGAAGAGGGTTGTAAAGCCACGGACGGAAGGCCAGCATTAAGTGGATGAGAGGTCAGGCTACTAAAAGCATATAAAAAAAAAGCATGGACTCGAACCCCAGGTTGTAACAAAACCGATCTGAGTATTAACCTTCAGGAGTCTTCAGGCATGACTGGTGACATGCTCCTGATCCATGAAGTTACTCTGTAACTTCCTCTGCCGTCTGCAAGGAGTCTAAAAGAGAATATACTAGTGAGCAACGACAAAGGACTGAAAATATGCTTCAGAACAGCTAGTCGTGGTGCTCTTTCACTGCCGGGTAAAAACTCAAACGGCGTTTGCGTGAGAAGGCCGATAAAGAGCGCTCCACGGGGCTTTGAAGCACCGGCCATTTTCAGCTCAGGGTTGTCAGTGTTGGTGCATGTAGAGGCTGGTTCTGCTGAAACGCAGCGCTCATGATTTCTATGAGTAAATCACATCTTTTCTCTGTCCCAGCCTGTTGAACGCCTGGTTCTGCTCCTCACTGTTTAGCTTCTATGGTATCGGTCTAGATTAGTTTGGATCTGCAGGAATAAACAAATGGAATCCAGACCCAGAAGTGGGCCTTAAATTCAAATTCTCATAAACCAAAGAACAGATGGCTACTCTCTTGGCCTAGATGAGTTCTTCTGTTTATCCATATTATAATTTCAAATTGTACATCAATATTGTTTATGAAATATATAAACTACGAAATTGTTTATCTGTTAATGTAATAAAACCATTTTAAGGGTTCTAAAATGAAAGAATCTAAATGATATCTAAGAATCCATTTCAAATCAAATTTCAAACATATTTGTTAAACAAATGCAAAGCATCTGTGATTTATTTCTGTGTGCTATAGCTCTCCTGACATGTGATAGCTCACAGTAAAAGCAAACGAAGCCTTTGTTGCCGCGCGGCCGGCATGTGACCGCCGTCGGACCAATGGCACGAGGCCGTCACCCTGCTCTTACTTTCTCATGAGGTCGGCTTTTATCATTTCTCTGCGTTGCCTGGGGGCGGCTTTGGGAGATACAGGCCCTTCTCAGACAGGTCGGGCCACATATTGCTGTCAAAGCACCACCGAGTTAAGAAACGGTTTGAAAAATAAAGTTGAAAGCATACAGGAGGGCTATCAGTCAAAAATGTATTTGTTGCTTTGAAGTAAAAAAAAACTACATACTATGTGAAACCTCACAGTGGATTGAGAGCACATGAGGTAAACTCTTTCAACCTGCCATGAAGAAAAATTTGCCTGAGGGGTTACAATTTCACTGAAGCCGACTTCTTTACTGATGACATCATGTTTTGCATAAAACCAAGTATTGCATGTTCCAGCAGTGAGAAAAAAAAAACACACAATCGTGCTTTTCTCTTTGATCAAACTGCACTGAATCCCATCAAAGTCACAGTCCGTAATTTATCACCGTAGTTAGCTCTGATCTGGTGTTTAACGACAAACATCTCCAGCCTATCGAGGCAAGAATTCATCTTACGATGCACAGGTCAATGTTTGACAGGAGCGGGAGACCGCGGCTTTGAGTGGCTTCAGGTTTTCAGACGAACAACGCTGTGATTCATGGGACTCATAAGCACACAGGCCAGTTAAAGCTGTAAAAGTCCGGTGTTTATGGCAGTGTCCAGATTCATGTCCAAAAAACCAGCCAAAGGTTGTTGTTTTTTTAAATGGAGTTATCACGTAAAAGATATAGAATCCAACTCTGAGGACATCAGAGTTCCCCAAATTCAACTAAGATATTTCAACTTATACATTTAAAATCTGAGCAACTTAGTGTATTAAGCTTGGAAAGTTCAGTTGTGAAGTTTTCTAGAAGACGTTTGGCCTCTCATCTAAGAGGCTTCATCAGTTCTAACTGATGGTAAGGAGCTCTGATATTAATATACTGTAGTCTATTAGCTTTTTGTATTGAAAACGGACATTAGATATGTCTTATATTTCTTACCCTTTTAATTTTATCTACCCGAAAAATGTGATTTACGTATTGCCAAAAAGGGGAGCAGTCTAATAGAAGGGAAACATGTGAAAGTGAACCATCAACAAATAGTTCAGATTTTTTTTTTTAGGGAAAAAACTACAGATGTCACATACAATAAAATTGAATCTGAGCCATTAACCAGCCTAATACAAATACCATCCAGCAGCACAATGACCTACATTCAAGTTGTACAAACACAGAAGAGCCTAAATGTGTTTGCTAGCTGCTGAGGGATGCTTCCCAGCTCAATCAAAAACAGCTTCAGCTCCGCATGCGTTTACGTGAAATATGGGTAACTCTATTAATGCTAGTCTGTGTTGTGGGTCATACAGGCTCTATATATGACAAAGAAGGTGATATCCAGAGTCAACGGCAATCGGCACTCCATGGCGTGTTTGGGAGTAGTAATGCTCACGTGGGACCAGTTCTGACTTCAGGTGTCTGGACCTGCCACCTGCCCTCCAAATACCTGGCCAGGGACCAAAGCCGGTGCCGAGGCCTTCCCTTTCTGTCTGTGCCGCCTTACAGTCCTGATGGGCCTCTGTAAAAACCTGGAACTGGGACTTTAATACGGACACACTCGTGTTAAAGTGTGAAAATGTTCAGTTTTCCGGAGCACCTCGTTGCCACTATCGGCTTTACACTGTCCTCTCCTACAACCGGCCACTTCCTGAAACGTTCAGTCACGCAGCACGCTACTGCATTACAGCACCCTCAAAGCAATTCACAAAGTAAAAACTGATTCAAAACCGGCCAAAATTCTACTCAATGGTACAAACAAGTGCAGAAAAGGTGAAAAAAACACAGGAACAATTAGTCTCTGTGAAATTTGGGTTGTAATCATAACATTTAAGGCTTTTTACATATATGTATCAAAGGCATGTGTGTGTGTGTTCAAAAGAAGATTTTCTATTTTTCATAAGTTACTTTGATTTACTGCATTTCTGTGTACTTAAAGAATCCTGTAAAAACTCTACTTTAAAATAAGTTTTATAATGATAAGAAAGCCTGTAATGCATAATTCAAATTCCTTATATAGGCAAAAAATTAACTAAAAAATGGAACACAAAAGTGAAAAAAAAACCACTATAAAAAATAGCTCACAGAACAACAACAAACTCTCATTTCTATCCTCCTAACAGCCCTACAGACGGACTTTCCACCCGTTTTCTGGGCTTTTAGCCTAAAAGTTAAAAGTCAAACCTCGAGCTTCTCAGAAAACCCTCGTTTTGGTTCTTAAAGTGGAACAGTGTGCTGGAAAACTGTTCCACGGCGGTGGTGAGAAGGTGAGAAGAGGCTGGAGGTGAGGTGAGGCGGAGGCCGGAGCCCCGGCTCACCGCGGCTCTCCGGAGGCTCTTACCCCGGGCTTCACGTCCTCGAACACGGACCCGTCTTCCGCGCCGACCCCTCCCGACATCCGGACCGGCTTGAGCTGCGTGAAAACCGCCCGTTCTTCTGTCAGATGAGGCGGATTCATGGCCAACCCGACACTCGCTGCCATCAACTCAGGCTTTCTTATCTTCTACTAAATGCACTTTCTGTGTGTCTGCAGCTCATAGAAGCGGACTGCGGTCGGTTTGGGGGGGGTGGAGGTGTTGATGTAATCCACTGCAGACTTGTCAACTCTAATCCTCAGGTAGATTTTTACCTGAGATCAAGTATGGACCTGCTACCTGGAACTAAGACGGTGTTCAGGTGAGCGGCCAATCAAACAGCAGGAGCGCTCGTTATTGGCCAATCGAGGGCCCGCAGGGGGGCGGAACTCACCTTTCAGAACAGACAGCAGGAGGAGGAGGAGAGACACATCTGGACGTCAACAGAAAATGTTGCCTTTACCTCTACAAGTAGGGGCATATGGAAATGGACTTCCATTTAGCTGTCATATGTGCAACAGAAACAGGTTTACTGTCTGTGAAATTGCAAAACTGCCAGTCAAAGAAGTTAAGAAACATGGAACATGACTCACATGTGTACATTTGGGAATAAATACATTTGTTTACAACTTGTTCATTTGTGGAGTTGTTTACATAATGTGAACTCCACAAACATGTTGTTTACAGCATATAAACAAATACATAGAGATCCCATTTGGTTAGCTGTTATGGAGTCTGATGGTAGTTGGGAAAAAAGAGTTCTTGAGCCTGGTGCACCTGCACTTGACAGTTGTGTTAATCCGATTCTTTAGTTGGAAACCTGAGAATAAACCAGAGTAGATCAAGAGTAAAAAATTGACATTTTTTAAATCACAGAGAAAGTATATCAGCGCTGGGCTCTAACAGACAAAAACCTCTCTGGGTCTCAGTGGGCAAAGAGCCCTGAGATCTGGGTGTGATGGGCATTATAAACGGACATAGACGGACATTTAAACGATTGCTCAAAGGTTTGGAAATGAGATCTATGGTTTGTAACTGTTTTATGATTTTCTAATTATAAATAGATGTAATTGTAAACTGTAATGTAATTTGTGATGTAATCTTTTGCCGCTGTCTTGGCTAGGACTCCCTTGAAAAAGAGATTGTTCATCTCAATGGGACTTTTCCTGGTTAAATAAAGGAAAGAAAAAAATTATCTCCTGGGCTCGATTCGCCTCCTCAAAGGAGGAAGTCCTATTGGCCAGTTACCTCTGGGCAGGAACAGGCCAGGTCCTAGTTCATGCAGATGACAGGAATGTGCTAACAAATGGTGTGTGTGTATGTGTGTGTGTGTTGACCTAAAGGTGGATCTATGCAACAGAGAGAGAAAAAGAGAGAAAATAGAGTCTCTGGACACAGCCAGAGACTTTAACACAAAAATTAAAGTTCTAAAAAGAATAAGACAATCAGTAACTGGCATAGATCATGTGATAGCATTCTAAGCTCAAATTAGTCATTTTAGCCAAATTCCAACAGTTGAGTGGCATGTTGGAGGTGGCGGGGGTCTTGGGTGATGGAGGCAGCTCTCATTTTGGTCCTGCGGTTTGTGGAGGCCTGCAGAGAGGGCAGTTGGGTCCTGATGGTCCGGTCAGCTGACAGGGGCACCTCTGTCCAGAGTGTTATTTCCTCTGCAGCATCAGAGCCGGGGACCTAAAAAGGCTCAATAACCTGATCTAAAAGGCTGCTTCTGTTCTGGGGATGAATGTGGAATCTCTGGTATTTGTTCAAAATCAAGAACATTACGGACAACCCTGACCATCCTTTTCATGAGATCTTTCCTGCCAATAGCTATCAAAATGTATAATAACTCCTGATCTAAATGAGCTACACCAACGTTTAATTTTCCTTTGGAATAAATAACAGATTTTTTATGGAATTTAGTGACACCAGATCTGCCACCTCCCTACTGGAAACCAGTGATTCATCCCATCCATGCAGTGTCATCTGCAAAACTCAGTCAAAGTATTGAAGAAAGCCACAAATTTCTGTTGGAATCCAAATAAAATAGTGTGGGAAAAATCCTTGTGACTGGCAAAAAAAGTGGCCAGTCAGTTTCATACCATTTGAAAAAAGATGTGTACTTTAAAACACAAAGCAGCCGTCTTACTGTAAGAACATTTCTCTGGTATTGTCAGCACCAACATAGTCACACATAGTCAGTGGCTAAATACTAAAAAACAAAACTAATGTTTGTTAGAAAAAACAGAGAGACACAGCTATCTGAATGTATTGTTAATCGTTTACTTTACATATCTGTCAGAACAAGATGAAGTGAGTGAGTAAGCCTGTAAATAATTTTGAGAAAAGCAAACTCAGTCTAATAGAAGGCCTTATCTAGGCTGTCATCTAGTTTATTTTTTTCCCCTCATCCTGTCCAGCATCATGGCAAACAGAACCATTCTCTAACTGCCATAGGTTTGCCAAACAAATAAACTTTTTCAAAGAAGGTTTTACACTCAAAAAGCCTCAGTTACGACTTATTGATGTATTGCTGAAGTGTTTACACAGGATCTCTACTTCCCCCGACCAGTTTTACTCTTCCGGTTACCCAAAGTAAAGGCACAATTCTGTTACTCTGTGCTGTAATAAGTGGCTTTACTGGTTCAAACATGAGTTCCGGTCCACTTTTTGCTGGTGTCGGCTGCCACAACAACGCAAGATAACTGAAAAATGAGTTGGAATTGTTTTGCCTTGAACACCAGCTACTTCGGAAGGCCTGTCCATGCCCAGCCCCCTACGAGCTGTAGGGGGCTCCATACGGAGGAAGGGGGGATCGGAAAGGTGGCTGGAAGCTTTAAAATTCAAATTCCCCCAAAGACAGCTTATTTATTACATTTGTTACATCCCCAAAATTGATGTAATTTTGTTTTTGGACCCAAAACTTACCTTGCTCTGTTCTAGGCTCTGCCTCTAGGATTGGGTGCTTACTTCCTGGGTCTCGGTCCAATCAGAAATCACCTGCTCACTATTTAAGGCGTGTGAGGCTGCACTTCAGGGCCTCTGGGCCTTTTTTCTACCACACACCTGTGTTGTTGAAGGATTTAATGGGCTCTTAATTTGCTGCCATGTTACCCTGTTTAGATGGTTTTTGTAGGGGAGAACTGCCTCTTTTTAAACCCCAGTTTTCTCCTGTTTATTTGTTGCTAGGTAGGTTATTTTGTTGGCTTGTATATTTTGGTTTAGTCTGAGTTAGGTAAATTACCTTTTCTTTTATTTTAGGGCTGATTTGTTTATAATTTTGGCCTGAGCTCTACTCAAGGCCAGAATAGACTTCTTTAAATGCCTTTTGACTCCTGGATTCGCTGTCTGCTTTTATGTTAGTCCCTTATGGCTCCTAGACCCAGCCAGGGGACGTAACACATTTAAGTTATTTATATCTTTTTCATTTTTATGATACCAGTGTATTCCTCCAAGCATCTTAGACTTTATAACCATCACTGCTCCCAACAAAACCAAACCTAAAACTATTGTTTTTTCCTTTGATAAAAATTGTCAGTTGACTTGCATCCACAGTCTGTACATTTTTTCAAATGAATATAATCCCTTGTTCATTTTACCCCGAGTCTACACTCAGTTGCACATCATATTACTGTATTTTTAACCTATATTTTCAAATTTCCTTAAATACACAGCCTCTTCTTTTTAATGTTATCTAATGTTTTGTGTGATACTGGATCATCCAGGCTACACAAAGATTTAACAGTGCGTGGCTTCCTGATGTAAACAAGTAGCAGGCAGTAAGATGACAGTTGCACAACTCCCCTATCACAGCCAGTTTTCAGTGACCTAAACATTCTGATATCCAGATAAATGATAAACCTTCCACGGAATAGCTCCCGTATGACTACATGATTTCCGTATTCCGGCAGTACAGAATATAACAATATAACCGATCCCGACCAGCTGATACCTAAAGGATTCCACAGAGAAACCAGGAAGAGACAATCATGATCACCTGCAAAGAGAAAAAAGCAACGGAAAACAAAACACAGAAAGCAACGGAAACAAATTTGCCGATAGAGGTAAAAGGTTCGATCCTTGTTAGAATTCATGGTTGCATACTTTAAGGCAGGCCACAACAAAAGATGGACAGAAAAATCTGTTTTTCTACTTTTACAAGAATGTCAATTAATCTAGAAAGACAGTCTGGTGACACAAAAGCCCCTGATAGAACTTTTGCTGATCAAAACAATACAATAAAAAAAAGAATGAAAACAATTCCAGATTATTTCCAACATTGTGGTCAGGCCGACAAAGAGTCTGAGCTCCGGTGAACCACACATTTCTATAAATCTCAGTACTGATGATTTCATGAGCTTGTTCATCAAATAAAATTGTCTATCTGAGGTTTAACCATGGATTAAACCCTTAGGGGATGCCAAATGACAACCATCAACAAGACAAAACACAGGACTAAAGTACTGTCAGCGCTTGGTTTGTTTTACTCACTTCCTTTAAAAGTAGATTTCACAACATCCGTAGATTCCTGACACTCGCTGCCCAATTCCCATTCTTCCCCGAGCACATAAAACCAGCCAGGAGTGGATTATTAACATTGTGTTGGGTTGTCTATATTTCAGATATCTTTTCTGTCTGACTCTCTATCATCTCAATTTACTACATCCTCACTTCCCCACTTCTTTATTTCCTATACAGAAGTCCACCTTTACAACATTGTACGGTCATTTGTTACTTTGTTTCGATGTGACTCATTTGAGAGAACGTTTGACTTGAGAAAGTTTCTAGCAGAGAAAGAGAAATCTCATTAATCATAATGGTAAATATATCCATCCATTATCGTTACGGCTTATTCCCCAATGGGGTCGCGGGGGGCCCGGTGTCATAATGCTAACTGGAAAATGAAGACCGCCATTATAATGGTGACTAACGCAGATGATGAAAGTATTGAGTTTCTTATGCATTTTTCAGCCAGATCTCTGAGTGGAAGGTGGGTGTGATAAAACATAACCTGACATTGACTTTTTTAGACGTTGAGGCACTTTATTTACTTAAGGAGGAACCCGTGAACAGAGTTCAATTGTTCTCCGAAACGATGTCTTCAGTGGAAGCCTGTTTACTTTTCTGAAAG